GGTCCCCCATGGACCTCAGGGCAGCATTAGTGCAGCACCAGGTGTAACAGCTAGGGCCTGCAGCCACTGGCACAAGAAGCCTGAAATAGTACCCCTTCTACCCCAAGAGCAGAGCTCAAACTTAAAAGAAAGGGAAACACCCCCCAAAAAAAAAGATGAGCAAAAAGCAATTTTAAAAAAAGAATATGATCATAGACAGTTATTATGGTGACAGGGAAGAATAAGAAAAACTCAGAAGACAACAATATCAAAACACCTATGGGCAAAACCCAAAAGAAAATGGGAAGTGGTCTCAAGGCCAGAAAGAACTCATGAAAGCACTCAAAAAGGAGCTTGAAAATCATATGAGAGAGGTAGAAGAAAAATTGGGAAAAGAAATGAGTGATCCAAGAGAATTATGGGGGAAAAAAGTCCACAGCTTGGAAAACTGCTTAAAAAGTAAAATTGGCCAAATGGAAAAGGATATACAAAAATCTACTGAAGAAAACAACTCCTTGAAGAATATAACTGGCCAAATGGAAAAGAAAGTACAACAGCTAATTGAGGAAAACAATACCTTAAAAGTTAGAATTGTACAAGTGGAAGCTAACGACTCTATGAGACATCAAGAATCAATCAAACAAATTCAAAAGAATGAAAAAAGGAGAAAATGTAAAGTATCTCATGGGAAAAACAACTGACCTGGGAAACAGGTCCAGAAAAGACAATATCAGAATCACTGGACTACCTGAAAGCCACAATCAAAAGGAGGACCTGGACAGCATCTTTCAAAAAATTATCAAGGAAAACTGCCCTGATGTCCTGGAACCAGAAAGCAAAAGAAACACTGAAAGAATCCACCAATCATCTCAGGAAAGAGGTCCCAAAATAAAAACTCCAAGGAACATTACAGCCAAAATTCAGAACTATCAGGTCAAAGAAAAATTCTGCAAGTGGCCAGAAAGAAACAATTTAAATATGAGGGAGCCACAATCAGGATTACACAGGACTTAGCAGCTGCAACATTAAAAGACTGGAGGTCATGGAACATGATATTCTGGAAGGCAAAGGAACTAGGACTACAACCAAGAATCACTTGGTGAATAGAAGCTTAATACATCAAGGGAAAAAATGGTAATTTAATGAAACAGAAGAATTTCAAGCTTTCATAGAAAGACCAGAATTAAACCAAAAATTTGATCGCCAATATCAAGACTCAAGAGAAGCATAAATAGGCAAAAACAGAAAAGAAAACATAAGGGATTCAATAGAGCTAAACAATTTACATCCTTACATGGGATGATAATATTTGTAATTTTAAAAAACTATCACTAATAGTACAGCTAGAAGGAATATACACAGACAGAGGGCATAGGAATAAGGTGAATTTGAGAGAATGACAAAAAAATAAGGGATAAGAAAGAGGAGTATACTGCGTACAGAAGGAAGAGAGTGGTATAATGGGCTAAATTATTTCACATGAAGAGGCGCAAAAGACCTATTACAATGGACAGGAAGATGGGAGGGTGGATAATGGTCATTTCTTGAACCTTATTCTCATCAGTATTGGCTCAAAGAGGGAATAATATACACAATCAGTTGAATACAGAAATCTATCTTACCCAACAGGAAGTAGGAGGGGAAGAGATTAAGTAAAGGGGGAAGGACTGACAGAAGGGAGGGCAGATGGGGAGGTGGTACACAGAAGCAAAACACTAGTAAGGAGAGAAACGGTGAATGGAGAGAGAGGACAGACAGGAGGGAAAACAGGATGGAGGGAAATATACAGTAAGCATAACTATGAATGCAAATGGAATGTACTCTCCCATAAAATGGAAGCAGATAGCAGAGTGGATCAAAAACCAGAATCCTACAACATGTTGTTTACAAAAAACATATTTGATATGCCCAAAGGGCTATAAAAATGTGCATACCCTCTGACCCAACAATACCACTTCTAGGTCTATGTCCCAAAGAGATCATACAAACGGGAAAAAGACCTACACATACAAAAATATTTATAGAAGCTCTTTCTGTGGTGGCAAAGAATCAGAAATTGAGGGGATGTCCATCAGCTGGAGAATGGCTGAACAAGTTGTAGTATATGAATGTAATGGAATACTATTGTGCTATAAGAAATGATGAGCAGGCAGACTTCAGAAAAACCTGGAAAGACTTGAATGAACTGATGCTGAATGAAGCGAGCAGAATCAGGAGAACATTGTACACAGTAACAGCCACAACTTCGCAATTACTAACCTTGACAGACTTATCTCTTCTTAGCAATGCAAGGCTCTAAGACAGCTCCAAAAGACTCATGATGGAAAATGTTGTCCACATCCAGAAAAAGAACTAAGGAGTCTGAATGCAGATTGAAGCATATTATTTGCTCTCTCTTTTTTCTTTTTTTGTTTGTTTCTTCTTTCTTGTGGTTTCTCCCATTGGTTCTAATTCTTCTTTAGAGCATGACTAATGTGAAAATAGGTTCAATATGAATGTGTATGTAGAGCTTATATCAAATTGCATGCCATCTTGGGGTGGAAGGAAGAAAGAGATGGGGAGAAAATTTGGAACTCAAAATCTTATGGAAGTGAATGTTGAAAACTAAAAATAAATTAATTTTTAAAAAAAGAAACACATTTGAAGCAGAGAGACACACAGAGTAAAGGTAAGGGGCTAGAGGAGAATCTATTATGCTTCAGATGAAGTAAAAAGGAAAAAAAAAGGTAATCCTGATCTCAGACAAAGCAAAAGTAAAAATAGGCCTAATTAAAAGAGATAAGGAAGGAAACTAGATCTTGCTAAAAAAGTACGGTAGACAATAAAGCAGTGTCAATGCTAAACATATATGAACTAAGTGGTATAGCATCCAAATTCTTACAGAAGTTAAGTGAGTTACAGGAAAAAATAGACAGCAAAACTATACTAGTGGGGGATCTCAACTGCCCCCTTTCAGAACTCAATAAATCTAGCCCAAAAATAAACAAGAAAGAAACTAAGCTGATAAAATATTAGAAAAGTTAGATATGACAGACCGTTGGAGAAAATGAATGGAAATAGAAAGGAATATACCTTTTTCTCATCAACATATGGCACCTATACAAAAAGTGACCATGTATTAGGACACAGAAACCTCAAAATCAAAGGTAGAAAGGCAGAAATATTAAATATATTCTTTTTGAATCGTAATGCAATAAAAATTACATTCAACAAAGGGCAGTGGAAAGATAGAGTAAAAATTAATTTTAAACTAAATAATATAATCCTAAAGTATAAGTGAGTCAAAGAACAAATCATAGAAACAAGCCATTACAGTCAGAAACAGGTAGGACAGAATCAGGAACTAGATGGAAAAATCCACTTGTGCTGGAAAGTCCAAGCAGTGTGGAGAAGATGGGTTAGGAGCAGGGAGAGATTTGAGACAGAGAGACCAAACAGGAGACTATTGTTGTAGCACAGGTGAATCTCTGAGTCTTCTCCTGCCAGGACTCAGGCCTTCCTCCATCAGAAGCCAACATGTGTCCATGAATATGGGCCTCCTTGTGTTTGTTTTACCTTGCTTTTAGATGAAATAGTACTTGAGATAGTGATGACCTTATCAGCCTTGAAAGATCAGAAGTATGAGCTCCCAGAGGTCTTAGAACTGGAATCCATGTCAGATTCTGGGGCCATGTTAAAGCCCAACACTGAGGCTGTAAGGCCTCAAAGAGGACCTGAGGTCCCCAGGCCAGCGATGGCTGAGATGAAGACTCATGTGGTAGCTGTTCTAGATGCTACGGAGAAACTGCATCAAGTTTAAGCCCACTCTCCCCAGGGGCCAAGGTGGTCTAGGGTACGGTGCCCCCCAGGAGTTTGGGGAGACTTTTGTAACCTCTGTGCTCATTCTATCTTTGCATTAAATATACCACTGTAAAAGCCAATTTATTTTATTTGGGTAAATGGAATGGTTTGCTAATCACTGGCAGCTAAAAATGGGGGGGTGCTGTGGGAAGAACACACCAGAACTGGGGGGCTTAAATCAACGGCAATAGAGAAAGTCATCCCCTGCCCTGCAGGGTACCCTGCAACCCCACAGAGAAGATACAGACAGCCTCATTAGAAGAGAGTGAAGCCATTTCACAACACACTTCAGTCCCTCTCTGCTGCACTGCACACACGGTGCTCCATCTCTCGCCTGCTTGCCTTTTCACTGGCTACCTCACATGTACTCTCCTCGCCTCTGCCTCTCGGAATCTCTGATTTCCTTCAAGACCAAGATCGAGTGTCACCTTCTTCATGAATTCTCTGCTGCCCCCTGCTCCAACTACATCCCCCACCCCCAGCTGCTAGGCCTCTCCTTCCCAAGCTACTCTGTATTCACCTTCTACAGTCTATGCACACTCATACTTCATCCATCCTATTACAATGTTCCTTGAGGGCAGGGAATGTTTCCCGGCACAAAGTAAGCTCTTGATAAATGCTCTTTGTTGGATTGGTTGTCTTCTGATTGCACTAAATATATGAGGTTCAAAATTTCAACTGGCATGTCAGCTGCCCAGGATGGTTTTCTTCTCCCCACCCCTTCCCCAAATTCTGAGAAAAAAACCCCAATCTATTAATGCCTTAGATATGGGAATTCTAAAAATGTCCCTTCTAGGGTCAAACCAAATCTTGTGGACAGACAGAATACAGACAGGAATTGTAAGCAGGACAGGAGACAAGGAAATTCTGCTAACTAATGCCACACTCTAACCAATTAGCTGGATCATTAAAGTCAGTAGTCTCCTTTAAATGTCCCTGTGATGCTCCCAAAGGTACTCTGAGAAAAACATGTATACTGAGAAGAATTCTCCTAGGAAGAAACTTAGCTGTACAGAAAGTATTTTAATTCCAAGGAAATTCACAATGTGAAAAGACAAATACAAAATTCATTGCGGGAAGATGGGGGAGAGTCTTCAAAAAGCTAGAAACTATTAAACATTTGCAATGTCAACCCTATCATTAAAAAAAATATGGGGAGAGTTCTAAAAAGTTTTCTTTACCTGATGAAAGCCCAGGTAGTCCACAATTGTCGATGATGCGTAAAATATCATTCCTTCTGCACTCACCACCAGAGCAAATCCATTAAGAGACTGGAAAAGAATGATAAATTAAAATTATTTTAATCATCAGAAAATGCTTCATCAGAATAAATCCTTAACTCATGTCACATATTCTATTCCATTATCAAATCTTGAGGTTTGTACCTTCATAAAAGCTTTATATACATCCTCTTCTTTTTACTCACATAGCTTACCTCCTTCTTTTAGGTTCTAATCACCTCTCACTTAGACTTTAAAAAAAAAAAAAAAACAGCTTCCTAATTGATCTCCCTGCCTCAAATTTCACCCCACTCCAATTCATCTTCCATTTGGCCATGAAAGTGACTTTCCTGAAGTAGCGGTCACATCAATTCACTCAACAAAGTCTAATGGCTCCCTATTACCTCCAGGATCAAACACAGAATTATCTATTCGGTATTTAAGGCTCTTCATTTCTTGGTCCCTCTTTTCCCTGCCCTCTCCTTATACCAGCTGGTTTTTCTTATTCAAATGTTTCCTTCAGTTCCTGTTTTTTTGTTTCTTTGTTTTCTGTCCCAGTCTTTCTATACTTTTCTCCCCTCTTTGCATGCTACAATCCAGCTATTTGTGGCTTACCTGTTCCTTAAATAAATCACTCCACCTACCATTTCAGTGCCTTTGCCCAGACCATCCCCAGGCCTTGAATGTACTCCCTCTTTACCTGTTTCTTAGTTCTCTTGCTTCTTTTAAAACTCAACTCAAATGATACCACACGCAGGAGGCCTTCCCCTCTGAGATTGCCTTCCATCTACTCTATATATACATTCTATGCCCCTAGTTATCTTGATGTTGCTTCCCCCATTAGAACATGAGCTCCTTGAAATCAAGAACCTGTTTTTGCCCTTTTAAAAAAAAAATCCCCAGCACTTAGCAGAATGCCTGGCACACAGTCAACGCTTAATAAATGCTGCTGACTGACTGAAATCCTGCAGAATGTAAAATGGCACCCGTTTGTCTTTATAGAGAAACGTTTTCAATCATCTCTTTGTTATTATATTCATCAGCACCACCCACAAAACCATATTTCAACCCTAACCCATTAATAGGGAGCATGGGAATTCGGGTGGAGCTCCACTTAGCTAAAGCCAAAATTGTAAAAGACAACAGACAATGAAGTAAATTAAAATCTCACTTTCCCCTTGATTGATTTTTCCTATTTATGCACTTTCTGCTCTAGGGAGTTGGGGTGATGGTAGTGGTATTGTTTGACTGCAGTGTGTATTCTATGTAAACAGCAAGTCTACTGGAACCACACTTCCCTCTATTATATTTCAATAAATAGTTGTTGTTGTTGAATCACTTTTCAGTCATGTCTGACTCTTTGTGACTCCATGTGGATTTTTCTTTTTTCAGCAAAGATACTGGAGTGGTTTGCCATTTCCTTCTCCAGTGGATTAAGGCAAACAGAAGTCAAGTGACTTGCCCAGGATCACACATCTAGTAAGTATCTGGGGCTAGATTTGGGCTCATGAATGTGAGCCTTCATGATTCCAAGCCCAGTGCTCTAACCGCTGAGCAACCTACTTGTCCCCAATAAATATAACTAATGATAAGCTATAATCAGAAGACCAATGGACATTTTATACCCTATGCTTGTTTAAATGCTTCTGGGATCCTGATAAGTTTTATTACATCAGTAAAGAGATCTTCTCTATAGTGTTTTTCTTCTAAGGAACTCAGCTACTAATCAAATACAAACAACACAACTTACAATATCCCTCTTAATTCTAGGACAAAACAACATGGCTAATGTGGAAATATATTTTGTGTAACTTAAGACTTATAATGGGTATCATATTTCCTGCCTTCTCAATGGGTTGGGGATGCGGTAGAGGGAGGGAGAAAACGTGGAACTTAAAAATCAAATTTAAATTTTAAAAAAATTCAAGAGAAAGCAAGTATTAATTATTGTCTTCATTTTATTGCTGGGTAACCTAAAGTACAAATGCATTTCATGCCTTGAATCACAGGGAAAGTCAACAGCGGGTGCAATAAATTAATGCTGGGTCCCAGAGAAGAGATGAGGAAACATGCCTTCCATGGCTCAGCAGAGCCTATCAGACAAGGCCCCTACCTCAGCGCACATACGTTTGTGTGTGTATGTGTTATTCCACACCCCAAATCTATTGCTTCTCTGTAATGGATAGTATGTTTCATCATTGGTCCATTCGTTCTTACAGCTTTCAAAGCTGTTGGTTTTTACAGTGTTGTGATTACAGAAATTGATCTCTTGGTTCTGTTCATTTCGTTCATCATCAGTTTATAAAAGTCTTCAAAATTGTTCATTTTTATAATATTGATGTTTCAGTAAAAACTGTTCTGACTCTGCAATGACATGTGTCAGTTCTTTGAGTATCTGATGATGCAGTCAATCTGAGCTGGGTGACTTGAATTCAACACGGGTAACTAGGTATCCTTAACGTATCTTTAGCTACCTCCTTATTTATATGAGTATCAGCTCTACAAGCCTTTGTTGCTGTTGTTGTTATTCTGTCCTTTCCAGTCCAAAGGTCATTCATTCTCTTGGACAGAGGAAAAGAGTAAACCAAATGATAATGGAGCAGCTCTGCCCTTACTCTGCAGTCAACTGTCATCATCCCACTGTGGGTGGCAAGGATTTCTTCTTGTATTCACCTCTTTTCCCCAATAAAGATAGCTTAAACAAAAACCTCTCCCCTTTGTTGTTGTTTTTTTTAATTTTCCAGTTATAATTTGTGTAATTTCCAGTATAATTTGTCTTCAACTTTTTTGTTACTTGCCTTTGCTTTTATATTGGCTACACAAGTGTGTTTAGAGGGCATGTCAAGTATGATAGGACATTCTGGGGAACGCTTGCAGGTGCTACTTCTTTCAACTAAAGAGAAAGGGGAAACTATTGGTCAGGTCATACACGATATTGGCCAATGATGGCAAACCCTCTATGCACACCAACATATATTTGGCTTTTAAAAACTTTAATTGGTTGGTAAGTTCTCTGTCTACATATTCAGACAACTATTTTCTCCTTCCCATTAGGATTGTTTCCTTTTGTTTCTCTGGAACTTCATTCTTGAGAGTTTTCCATTTTTTCTAAGCCAACTTCCCTTTAGGAATTATTGTCTATGGGATTGCAGGTGTGCCCAAAAGGGTGAGCCAGGTGTGCTGACATATCCTGTCGCAAGAATTAGCTTTGATCCTCTCCCTTCTCCTCTTCCCCTCAAGGGAAGTACTGGTCACCATAGGGTGCCATCCAATCACACCCTTCTAGCCACTGCTATATATAGGATCATACCTATACCTCCCCTGAATCCTTTGAAATCTACTCTATCAAAATCTAGTGTGAATGTCATGCTATGCCCATTTTTTATCTCCTCTATTATAAATGTCCATTAAGGAACAGCCACTTTCCCACAAGGTTCTGATCATTTCCTTTAAAATAATGAGTTTTTCCCTGTTGGAATCAGATCCACAATAGAAATCCCCACTACCAGCTCCTCCAGCTTTTGAGTGAAGTTATATAGTCTGTTCTACTTTTGGCAGTGTAAGAGCTCCTGAAGATGTCAGGATAACTGAAGTACTCCATCAAAATTACAGGCCATCCTTCTGGGCTAGGCCTTTGGATCTGTTTCCAGAACTCTTCGTCAATTTCCTCTTTTTGTCTAGGTGATCTGTAGGATATTCCAATGGCCAAATATTTGTTTATTTGGCCACTGATCTGCACTCAAATGCTCTCCATCATGCAACCTCTGGTTCCTAGATTTCCTCACATGAAAAGCTCTTTCTAATTTTTCTTTCACTTCCCCTTTTAACTTACTCTGTTTATTTTGAAAAAGGTATCCTTATCCAAAACCATATTCTAGTAATGATCTCACCATACGAAGTCTCAGTGATACCCGTAAGGTTAAAAATACCTCCTTACATCACAAGCTCTAGTACATGTTGCTTATCGCCTCAACTTTGGACATCTGAATAGAGATATTTGATGACACATTTTACTATTAGCTCCTTTTAAAAATTCTGTCTCCTGTGAACTTTCGGATGTCTAAATTTCTATTCTTCTTCCTTCATTGTAGCCACTCTCTGTGGTACCTAAAAAGATGTATGTATGGATAGACAGATATATATCTACATATGGATGGACATATATATATGTGTATGTATGTATATTATATATGTATATGTGTGTGTGCACATACACACACACACACACACACACACACACACACACACATGAGAAAAAGAGAAAGAAAGGGAGAGGGAGAGATGCAGTTTTTCCTTTCCCAGTCCTTTTTAGGGTAAAGTCCTTTTGATTAGATTCGTAAGACAACAGACAACTATATTGTCGTCTTTCTTTTTCTAGTATGTTCCATTTCTGGCTCGTGATTCCAATATGTTAAATCTATGGTCAAGAAATCCAAATCCTATTTCTCAGACACAACCTCTTCCTAAATTAGTTTTTCTCTTCTACATCCCTTCACCTCAATGAGAAGCAGTGTTGAAAACAGCACCTGTGTCCCCGTGATCTTCAGTTTCTTCATCATTTTTTTTGACAGTGCTTTCCCGGTTTCTCCTAGCAGCATGAAATCACCAGAAGTGGGTAGCAGTCATATGTTTTGACAAGCTTTGGGATACTATTTTATGTCCTGGGTAGACCACAGACCTCCCTATTGCTACTGAGTTGATAAATAGCTGCCTCCGTAGGGAATAATCAACCCCCACTCTCCTTCTGATACTTACTGGATCACCTTTCCCCTAATGGCCCCAATGGATCTACTTCATCATTCCTTAGAATAGCAGCAGAAGTTTTATTCCCCCAAACATCCAGCCCCCTCCTCTTCAGGAAGGACCTTGAATTTGTTTTAAGGCTGCACGTATACAGTGTTTCTTTTCCCCTTTTTTCTGTGTGAGATTCTTCCACTCTCTAATGTGCTGATACAGGACTTTCCTCTACCATTTTAGATCCACTTTCCCTCCCATTAAAATTGTGATTCCACTTCTTGTTGATATTGTTTTAGAAAGGCTTCCTCATCCCT